TCTGAAAACCAGGCCACGCCAGACACCCCATCCTAGAACCATGCCACCGCCGGGGCAGCGATCCAAAGCCAACAGTCAACACCAGACTCGATGGAGGAAGGGCTCTCCCCTCGAAAGTGGGAACAAGGTGAGGATACCACTTCCATGTTGGATCAGAAGTCCTAGACAGACCACAAGACAAGCCAGTGACACGAACAGCCCTCGCGATTGGAAAAGAAGTGGGAGAGTTCTCTCTGCTCACCGACAGATGAGCCCATAAGTAGAAAAGCTCCGCGTTCCCAAGGAAGCTCCAACAACGAGTGGAGGGATTCAGTACAAAGTCGACAGACGGCCCTCGGCGGGGTCTCGACTCCCGCGGTGGGAAACCTGCGAAGGGGAGTCGGGAGACCGTCCCACATGCAGAAGCATCTTCTAAGACTGGTTCTCCACCTTCCTGGCGCTGCGACCCTTTCATACAGCTCCTCAAGTTGTGGTGACCCCCCAACCATAACATTATTTCCGTTCCTACTTCATCACTGTCATTTTGCTACTGTAATGAACCGGACAGCCCCTGTAAAGGGTCGTTCGAACCCCCAAAGGGGTCGCAACCCACAGGTTGAGAACCATTGTTCTAAGAGGATAAAAGACCTATGAGTGAATCTCACCCGGGGGTGAAGGGCTTACACCATGAAAATTATAAAACATTATTGAGACTGAAGAAAGCTTAAATAAATGGAAAGGCATTCTATGCTCATTGATTAGAAGACTTAATATCACAGGGGGCCAGTAGCACCCAAAGCAGTATATATATTTGATGCAGCCTTGATCAAAATTTCAATGGCCTTCTTTGCAGAAGCACCAATCCTCAACTCCATATGGAAAGGCAAAAGATCATGAATAGCAAAAACAGCCCTGAAAGAGGAGGGCAACGCAGGGTGACTCACACTTCCTGCTTGTAAAACATACTCTAAAACGATAGCAATCAAAACAGGCTGGCACTGTTATAGCAAGAGACATTCAGGCAAACGGATAGAATTGAGAGTCCAAAAACCCACACATCAGTGGTCAACTGAGTTTGGAAAAAATTCATTCCGCGAGGAAAGAAGAATCTCCAATCAATGTTGCTGGAGGAATAGGATCTCCACGTGCAGAAAAGCCTCCAGAGAAACACATTCTACATGGACTGAGGACCTAAAGGTGCGAATTAAAACCATAACTTTCTCAAAAGAACCAGCTTGGGTAATGCCGTCAGGCTCACCTTTCAGCAATGGATCAATATAACAAAAGTACAAACAGCAAAGGACTAAATAAAGTAATAAATGGGACCTTAGAAAAATGGAACACTTTGGTTCAACAAGATATTTATTTTGGTTTTTTTTGTTTTTGTTTTTAAGATATTTGTTTTTTAAAAACCCGAAAAGACACGGTACCAACTGAAAAAATTATCTTCGGAAAACTATATCCAAACCTCACTGTCATTAAGTCAATTCTGACTTATAGTGACCCTGTATGACAGGGTAGAAAACTGTCCCTGCTGATTTCTGAGCTTGTAACTGCTTCGGGGAGTAGAGAGCCTCATCTCTCTCCCACTGAGTGGCTGGTGGTTTCAAACTACTGGCCTTGTAGTTAGTACCACTCAACATGTAACCACTGCACCACCACAGCGCCTTCTAAAACTACATTTCCGATTAAAATCCAATCACCTAAATATACATTTTTAAACTTGGACAGCTTAAGAGCAAAAAGACAATCAGAAAATGAGCCAAGGACTTGAACAGACAAAAGACACCTAAGGTCAAGCCCGCTCAGGACGACCCAGGCCAGGCTGCCAGCTTCACTCTGGAGCCCACCCATCTTGTGACGTAGATGGCTTCCTGTCACCTGTGTGCCCCTAGTGCCTCCCCTTCCTATCATGTGCACACCCCTAGCTCATCCCCCTCCTGTTTCGTGTATGCCTATTGTACAACCCCTTCCTGTTGCGTGTGCTTACCGTGACCTGCGTGCCCCAGATTATATAAATGCGTGAGATCACATTACTCCCTCTCTGCTCGGACCTGGAGGTCCCGGAGGTGAGCCCTTGCATGCTTCACCTTGTCTGATTCTCTTTAATGCACTCCTCAATGACCCAACTGCCCCTTGGACCCACTCGGTGGTGGGGAGGCTGGGCCCCCCACACCATCCAAAGTACAACAGGCCACCTAGACCAACACTGGGAGAAGGAGAGAGTGAACCAGGACCCGGAGGAGGATATGGAATGTGTGAGCCTCTCCAAGACCAACTGCCTCTTTGGCCATGAGATCTAAAGAACTAGGTGGTGCCCCTCGGAATGATGGAAGACTCCATCCAAGGCTCCTAATCCAAAAGTGGGAAGAATGCACGCAGGCTGTCAGGTTATCACACACTGTAGACTTTCTGGAGCCACGGAGACTGGCTGAACCTCTGAAGCTACTTCTCTGAGCAACTCAAACGATCAAGTAGAAGCCTCAGGGGTCAGTGAGTTTGTGTCCATCGAGAAGGGATGACTCAGGCGAGGGCCAGAGTGTCACCTGAGTTCGCCAAGCCTCAAGCACAGGAATGGTGGGATCGGGGTAGGTCTTGCCTTACCAGTTCTCAACAACAGAGTAAATGTAACTTAAAGGAAGCAGCAGCCGGAGAGCCCCCGCTCTGCTCAGACCACAGTGAGAGTCAACAGGAGGGTGGGGGTGGCCATCTACGGTGGGGGCAGGGAGGCAGGACATGGGGGTGTCACACGGGATTCATAAGTATTGGGGATGCCTTCATGCCTACACTGGGGCAGCGGGTGCACAGGCATTTTATTTATTTATTTCCCCTTTCCCTTTCCTTCCCCTGCCCCTTCTGGCCTCCCTAGAACCTTCGAAGTCTGCTCCTCTGGGTATTAAAACCATTTATCTCCCCTTCTCAGTTCTTTCTTTGGCAGAGTGCGTGTCTTTATGACATCCATTAACTTTGGCGAGCACAGTGTCTTCCAAATCCATCCACGACCTGAGGTACTTGATGATTTGGGCACCCTTTTCCAGGGATGCATGTATTCCACTGTAAGCCGTCCAGAGCTCGGCGACACATTCTTCCCCGGACTCGCCATCCCTGGCCCCCTCCATCTCTTTGCCGTCAGCACCGTGTGGTGTGGTGGTAAACAGGGCAACATCTATCTGCTGGGATCGTGTGCTTCCCTCCTTTGGGGCAGGACGGAGCTGAGGGACCTGGTCCCCTGGCGCTTCCATCCACGGTTGTCGAAGGACACGCCATCCTGTTTCCCACAGGGGCTGTGGTGTTGTGTGTTACCACATCACTCCGTTTCTCAGATGTCAAAAATTTTCCATTCCACAAAGGGCAGCCTATGAGATCATCACGGGGTTCAGCCAGCGTGGTTTTGCAGGCCGGGATCACGGCACCCAAGGACACGTGTCCGAATCAGCCCAGGCCTCCCCTCAGGAAGCGGGTGACACGGAGGAGGATAAAAGGACAAGAGAACAGGGTGCCCCTTGGCTTCACAGGGAGGGAGGCCGAGGCATGTTGGGGGGGAGGGGGTAGTTTCAAATGAAGATGCTGCAGGATGGGAGGAGCTGGGGGTCTGGGAAACGGTCCCCTATGAGGTCTTGGAAGCAGGAGGCGGGGACTGGGGAGGGGAGCCCACAGGGCCCCACAGGGCAGGGTTTTGTGTGTCAGCCTGTGGTAGGATTGGGGCTTGGGGAAATTATGCCTTCGGCTTCCAGGCTGAGCAGAGGCCCAGGTGCCAAGTGCTGACAGCTCAGAACAGGCAGGGTGTCCCCACCACTGGGCACCCCCAGCGTGAGGCTCGCCCACATCACCACCAGGAGCGAGGCCTCAGAAGCCAAGACCCCTAAGGGAAGGTCCACAGAAAAGGCTGCGCTCCAGTGGTTAGCGCAGGCTCGGCTGCGATGGGCGGGGCTCTGGCTCCACTTCAGATCCCCGTTCACATAGCTGCCCCGCCCCCACCTCCTGGAAGCCTGCTCTTCCCATCCCAGGGGGTGACAGCCTCGCCCTGCCCAAATCACCCACGTGCCACGCGCAGGCTTTGCACGCGACCCACGCCGCCCTGTAAAGGGCACCTCGCCCCCTGCGATCAACGAGGGAAAGAACAATGGGCGCCATCCACGATCTCATTTTACACGACTCCGCCCGCACTCAAGGAAGCAGCAACCCAGAGGAATTCACATTGGGCAAGTCTGCTGCCCGAGACCGCTTGACAGTGTGAGAGCAAGGACGTCACTTTGAGGACGGAGACTCCCTGGCCAATCCTGGTCTTTTCTGTCACCTCCCACCCGGCCGTGTGTGAAAGGTGGCAGTGACAGAGGCCGGCCTTTGTGAGGACGCCCGAATGTACCCCGGCCGCTGTCTTGGAAGTACCTACGGCCAGAATGTTCCCTGGAAGCAAGAAGGGTGAGACCCGTCTCAAGGACTTGGGAGGTGTGATCGGAAAGGACGGTTCCCTGGAGAAAGACGCCGTGCTCAGTCCTGGAGAGGGGCGGCGGGAAGGAGAAAGGGCTCACTGAGATGGGATGAGCATGGGCTACCCCCTGGGTGTGCACCTGACTGTGAGTACCAGAACCCCACAGGACCGGACAGGGCTCCTCCTGTTACTCATCTGGCTGTACACACATGTGCATGCAGTGTGAACACACACCTCCAGGTCCCCCGCCAACAACAGGGCCGGGCTGCACAGCTTCTGGCAGCCGGACAGAGCAGCACCTGGGCCCCTTCCGACCTCACCGATGCCACGCCCTGAGCACTCACAGCTGGTCCATCTCTCCCTGCCTCCCTGTCCAGCCCCTCGCCCTGGGTGTGGCCACCTGGCCAAGTCCACCCAGGACCATCGTGGGCACTTCCCTGGACAATGAACAGGCGGTCCTGAACACCTGGAAGGCCATGGGGACACAGATTCACCACCACCACCACCCCACCCCGAGGACAAAGCAAGGCCAAGCAGAACAAAGCCACTTACCGGGGCCTGTCGGGTCAGCCAGTCTCCGCAGACGGCCACTGGAGGTCCTTGTGACTCCTGCAGAGGAGAGGGCAGAGGGCAAAGGTCACATGAGGCCGTTGAGGTGTTTGTTTTCCTGGTACATTTTTATGTGTTTATTTCAGCAGTTTTATTGGCACACAAGCCACGTATCATAGAAGTGAATCGTTCAACCATTCAAACATATCAAGGGGGTGCTGTACAATCACCACCCCATCCATCCTAGAGCATTCCCCCCATGGTTGACGTGCCCCCAAAGTGAGCTGCAAAATCACCATCAGCTCCAGTGCTCCCTCCCCCTTCATTATTGACTCCTCAACTCCCCTTCCCCTCCCTACTGCCCACCCCCCTCCCCTACACTCCCTGTAGCACCTTGCATCAATGATTATCAGTATACACCCACGCCTCCTGCCCTTCCCAGCTGGGATCATCTAAGAGATGCTTGATTCCAGAACCCATTCAGGACACGTCAATGGGGAGGCCAACTGACCACGAGTGGAGCTGGATCCAGCACCATCAAGGTCACCATGGTCTCTGCCTGCTCGTGGGGCTGTCCGGGACTCTCACCTTGGGCTAGAGTGGGTTTACCAGCAGCTTGGTCTGACCATGTACTTTGCAGGGGGGTTTGGGGCTCCCACTGTCTTCCATAGCCTTCTACCAATTGGGTGTTCATAATTTTAGCTCTGATACTTTTCTCTTCACCATATTTGAGTTTCGTAATTGTCATCTTCGGATCACACCAGCTGGTGTGCTTCTTCTGTGTGGGTTTCATGGATTCCTCTCCTAGATGGCTGCTTATTTGAATACAAGCCTTTAAGATCCCAGCAGCTATTTCGATTGATAGCCGGGCACCATCTACTTTCTTTACCACACTTTGCTATAGCACCCTTATCTTCAGTGATCATTTCAAGATGCGTATCAAGCAGGGCCATGATATAAGCACTAATTGTTTTTAAGTTGGAGCTAGAATTTAGGGTGAACCCAGAGCTCCTTCCTGGATCTATGCTTTTTTATTTTTATTTTTTTTAATTTGCTATAGCTTGGGCCTTAATACATATGTCATATCATTCCATAATTCAATCGTATAAAACATAATTGTACTATTATTTCCATAATCCTCTCCGAACATATTTTTCCTTCCTGGGCTTCTTGATGTCATCTCCTTGTTGTCTCCCCCACCCCTCTGCTTCGCCCCTCCCCACCCCACCCCTTGCTATGTTTTCTTTCCCTATAGATTCCACACCCTTGGGTTTCATTGACTGAAAAAGAGAAGCAAATAACACAGCTTCAAGAGGGTGCCCCCCAAATGGTGGCACACCTCTGACACACACTCTAATAGACACACGCATAAGCAAAATATAGCAGAACCAGACACCGGGACTTCGGGGGCCCAGTCTGTCCCCCCAGGGCACCTGGAAGAAAGGCCTGGTGATCTAGTTCTGAGAAGCTCAGTCACTGAAACCCACGGAGCACAATTCCACTCAGGCACTCACAGGGTGGCCATGAGAACACACACACACACACACACACACACACACACACACACACACACACGAGCTCAGGAGAGGTACTAGCAGGGGGCAGCTGTGTCCACTAACCTGATGTGCTCCCTGTACAGCAGCAGTCCGGGCGAGGGACTGCCAGCCACCCCCAAACATTCCTGGGACAGCTGTCACTTCCTCCCAACTCTTATGTTTTCACAGGGGTGCTGAGACACCCCCCACCAGTTCCCACCAGCTGACCACTACCCCTGCCTCCAGGCACAGGTAAAGGAAGAAGAGGCCGGTCCAACAACCCAAACATGTGACCTCTAGGCATGTCCTCCACACCTATCCCCAGGCCAAGTGGGCACGTGGGTCAGGCTGCAGAGAGGCAGTAGCCGGGGGAGGAGTCTCCCCATCAGATTCGGTTGGTGGACTCTCTTCCCACTGCCCAAACTGAGGCAGGCCCCCCACCCCCAACACAATGAAGGGACAAGCCTGCTGCCTAAGGAAGGAGGGGGTGGCACCCCTTAGCAGAGAGCACCCCTCACAGACTCACCGGCCTGGGGGAGTCCAAGGCCAAAGTCAGCTCACGTGGGCAGAATTCCCCGCCCATGTCCGCGCCCTGCAAAGACTGTCAAGAACTGCCCAGGCAGCTGGGGTCTCAGCCGCTCGGGAAAATGGAGGTGTTTCTGTGCCATTTATGAACAGAACAGACTGAGGTGGCGCAGCTGCTGGAAACGCCCCCTGTGGACTCAACCCAGACCGAAGCACTGGTCACCCAGGTGAAGACGGACTCCTCCAGAGAGTTCTGACTCAGGGCCGCCCCGCCAGACACAGCCATTCCTTGGACACACTAGGGTTAGGCTGTCCCACACAAAAGCAGACAGCCTCATCTCTCTCCCAAAGAGGCGCTGGTGGGCTTGAACCACTGACTCCGTGGTCTGCAGCCCCGTGTTCAGTGCCCTGTGCCACCAGGGCTCTCCCCCAGCTGTGGCATGGGAGCAGAGACTCACAGCACCCCAGTGAGGCCCGTAGAACTGCCCATGTGAGTTTCCCAGACTGCACCCCTTCATAGGAAGAAAGCCGGAGGGCAAAATAAAAACTCAAAGCCACCAAGTCCGTTCAGACTCGTAGAGACCCCACGAGACAGGCAGGATTGTCCCTGTGAGTTTCCCAGACTGTAACTTTTTACGGGAGTAAAACGCCTCATCTTTCTCCCACGGAGCAGCTGGCGGTTTTGAACCGCTGAGCTTGTGGTCGGCAGCCCAACATGTCATCACTACACTACAGTCACAGCAGGCAAGAAAGCCTGGAATCAGACGACACCAGCACTGGGATCTAGAACCAGCCAGGGTCTGGCTGTGAGGGGAACAACTCTCCCTGGACCCCGAGTCTCCCAGAAACCCCCGGGACCACTTCTTCCCTGTCCTATAGAGGCAGTAGGAGTCAGCATCCTCCGTGGCAGGGAGTTTGGTTTGAGGGACTCGGAGCCTCAGTTTCCTGATCTGCAGAGTGGGTACAAAGATGGCGCTTATTCCCAGGGTGTTCCAATCCAGAGAGGCCCCCCGCTAGGGTCTGGCACAAAGCACACAGCCCCCACCTAATGGTGAAGTCATGACAGCAGCCACCCAAGCCCACCTGCTGGGAGTGGACAGGGAGGCATCTGGGCAGAAAACTGAAGTTAGGAGCCATGTCGAGGGCGGGCAGCCAGGACTCGGGCTTGGCTCCTGCCCCTGGGGGCGGCCCCTCGATCCAGCTGTGGCTTGGGGAACTTGATACGCCAGTGTTCCCCAAGCCTGGCAGCCCCAGAACCCACCCCCTAGGCCAGAACAAAGGCCACCCTGTCAAGCCCACAGCCCAGGTAGGTGGCAGCCCGCCGAGGCCACAGGATCAAAACATGCCTTAGGAGGGACTGCGCAAAGGTGAGCAGAGGGCTGTCACCTGGGGACAGAAAGGAGAAACGCTTTCAAAAGGCTGCCTGGTCCTCGGGAAGGTTTTCTTGGCAATGCTGTTGTTGTTAGGTATCTCAAGGGGGTGCTGCCTCCTAGTGACCGGATGGACCACAGAAAGAAACGCCACCCGGTCCTGTGCCAGGCCGAGTGTGGGGACCTATGGCCTACATGGACCATGCCCTCATCTCCCCTGAGACCAGAGGCACCAGCTGGTGCCCAGCGACCCCTACCGACCCTTCTGGGCAGGCTGCAATAGGTGATTCTGAGGCTTTTGCTAGGTGCCATCAATCCGTTCCGGTCCACGGCGACGCCGTGCGTGACACAGGGAAACACGGCCCGGTCCCGCGCCGTCCTCACGGTCGGTCGTTGTGTGTCTGAGCCCATGGCTGCAGCTGCTGTGTCCATCCATGTCCCCGAGGGTCTTCCTCTTCTTTCGCGGTCCCTCCACTTCACCGAAAGGTTGTCCTTCTCCGGAGACTGGCCTCTCCTGACGACACGTCAAAGTACGTGAGACGGGGTCTCGCCCTCCCTGCCTCTTGGGAGCACCCTGACTGTACTTCTTCCGAGTCAGATCGTTTGTCCTTCTGGCTGTCCATGTCCTTCTGATGCCCTTCTCCAGCGCCGCCACTCAAACGGTCTTCCGTACTCAACGTCCAACGCTCACGTGCACACCACGGCTGGGCTCAGGTGCCCCCGAGCCCTCAAAATGACCTCCTCGCTTTCAGCATTTCAACCAGGTCTCGTGCGGCAGACTGGCACGGTGCGATGTGCCAGCAGGTCTCCTGACTGCTGCTTCCAGGAGCACTGATGGGGGATCCAATCCCCAGCAGCCGGGGACAATCCTTATAGGTCAATGCCCCCAAACCCCATCCCCACAGTCCCTCTTCCTGCAACCAACCCACCACCACCCCGCCCCCGGGCTGCAGAGAGACGCTGGTCCCCAGACCTGGAAGTCCAGATGCCAGACGATGGCTGCGCCCCCCAAAGCATGTCATGTAAGCACGCTGCAGGGGAGGGCAGGGCGGGGAGAAGGGCCCAGTAGGCCTGCAGGCCTCTTTGTTTTGTGACTATGAGGTGGAAATGCTTCAAGAATCAACAGAGTCCCTCACTTCACGCCTCATGTCACCATTGTCATCGTCCCCAGACCAGGATGCCCGCACTTACTATCTCATCCCAGGTGTTGCCGAAGGGTCTGGACCCCCGGGTGGGGGTGAAAGTTAAAGAGCAGGGCACGGAGACCCCCCTCCCATTCTGCTTCAGTGGGAATACTGAAGGAGTGTTGGTGGCACTGTCGTTCAGTGCTTGAGGTCAGCGGTTCGAGTCCTCCGTCTCTCTGAGGGAGAAGGAGGAGGCTCCTGCTGAGGTTTACATCCCCGGAAGCCCACAGGGGCTGGTCTCCCCTGTCCGGCTGGGTCGTTCTGAGTCAGAATGTGCTTGGCGGCCGTGGTTTGCTTGGGTGGGGCATCCTCAGTGCATTACAGCCTGTCCTAGTGGCCGGGGGTTGGCTGCCGGGCTGTGGACTACATGCGTGCGTGGTTTGAACCCAGCAGCTGCTCAGCAGGAGTTGTGCGGCTGACTGCTGCCATGGGAAGGACAGCCTTGG